ACGGTCTTACCATATGCCAATAAAAATGTTGAACTTCCTTTTAATTCCGGATAGTCTTTCTTAGGACCTTTTCCTCACGTCAATTTATTTTCGTTTAACCCTCTATTTGTACGATTGTAATTTTAACTGTAGAACCAATTTTTAAAAATTGAAATGAAGATTGATATAGGGAGAGTGTGTACATTGTAAATAATTGGCGGGTGGACGTCAAAAACACAGCTCCCTGTTTAGCTGTTAAAACCAAAGTTGTTGCGAAAAAATATCAAACAAAAACCTGCGTAAATGTCGTAAATATCTTGTCAAAGTTGTCTTCTTCAACGTTCCATCAAATTCCTGAAATAGCGGGAATTTACCTGACAATGTTTGACGCAGTTGCCCTGACAGTACAATTAGAGGACAAACGATTATGAAGATAATGCACAGTAAGAAAGCTGTATTTTATTGAAAAAGTTATTTGTTATGCTTAATGTAATGGTTTGGTTTGATTTAAGCTAAGTTGGTATAAGATTTGTAGCCCCCATCAAAATAGGACTATTATGCTTCTCCATGTATTGGTTATAGATCACAACGTAAGTAAAAACCTTGTGTCATTCACAGTAGCATACAAGATGTACTGAGGTTTTCTCTTCATCTTGGTAGAAACTACACAGGCTGTTTTCTGCCATTCTCAATATTTTGAAATGCCTATATACAAAGAGTCGGTAATGTCTGGTTAGCAGACGTAAATGACCCTGAGGTCAGCCTTGATGCAGTAGGTTTGTAGCAGGTCTTTTGCCTGTCTCTGGGATGTTCCACCAGGTATGAGTTTTTAACAAGATCCATACGGCTATTGCTGTTTTCCGGATGTTCAAAATTTTACGAAAGGGTTCTGGTCCCACTGGTGCTGCTCCCCTCCCTGAATTTTATCAGATTTAGACAAGAGAAAGTTTGTTGTATATTTCTATTTCTAATAAGTCATTCTGCAGTGCCATACGAGTTATCTTACCTTAGGTGATGTCAATACTTTGGCATTTTCCGTAAGAATTCTCCATTACTTTGTTTGATCTTTGGGCCGTAAGTGTACCGAAAAATTGAACGCAGTGATTGATCCTTTATCATACGCTGCTCTTTTTTGATATTATAATTCGATACTTATTAGCGAAGTTATACCTAGGAATCATGGCAGCTGTAGGCATGCCCAGTTAAACTAACTCTCTTAGTTTTAGATTTTTGGCATAATATACAAGTATAATATGCAGCCGATCTTGCTTCTCCCCAGGGTGATGTGTGATGGTGTTAGGTTTAATAACATCTTCAGAGAAGAGTTCGGTGTAGTTCTCCCGTTATACCCACACTTTCCCTTTTGTATCACTTAGGAACTTTTTGCCAACTGCAGCCACACCACATATTGCCCCGTAGCTTTTCATCGGCCTGACAACTCTTGTATAAAGCTAGAGTGTCATTTTGGAGTTTAAACCCCAACTTTTTCACCTTTCTCTTTAATATTTTAATATGTCAATTAATTTCATAATTTCACTAATTTCGTGGTCCGCTTGACCAATTAGTATATTACAATTAATTAAGGTTTTTAGGCGAGATAAAAAGGCAATGGCACGAGCGGGATTCGAACCCACGATTTTCGGCTTGATACGCCGCTGCTCTACCACTTGAGCTATCGTGACCTCGACCACTCGGACACCAACTTCCCATCTCAACCGCACCTTTTGAATTTTCCCTCCTTTTTGCCATTTTCCGCTCGCGCCACTGACTTTTTTATCTCAACTAAAAACCGTAATTAATTGTAATATATTAAAAGCTAAGTTCAAACTGCTATAAAAAGTGCTGATTTTCTATATCGAATGATCAATAAGAGGTAAAAAAACTTAACAAACATGGTCCTAAATAAAGAAGAAAACAATTTATTAAATAAAGGCTTGAAGTTTGTCCCAAAAACAGAATTAGATAAAACGAAACTACTATCCATTAGTTCATCGGTTGATTGTAGTAAAATAAATACAAATATAATTTATAAATATGTTGGACTAATAAAACCAAACTTGATAAATCTAAACGTGAAAAAATTAAATATTCCACACGTACAATTAGATCTATTGATAAAAAGATAAAAAGTGAGCCGATAAAGGAAATAGTAAGTTACCATCGAACACCAAAAATACGTTTCTAAAGTTGAAGAATTCCTAAACAATAACGATTGTAAAGAAATAAAAAAAGACACCAGTATAAAATTAAAAGCTAATTTCACTAATTTCGTAGTCCGCTTGACCACTTGATATATTACAATTAATTAAGGTTTTTAGTTGAGATAAAAAGGCAATGGCACGAGCGGGATTCGAACCCACGATTTTCGGCTTGATACGCCGCTGCTCTACCACTGGAGCTATCATGAACTCGATCCACTCAGACACCAACTTCCCATCTCAACCTCACCTTTTGAATTTTCCCTCCTTTTTGCAATTTTTCAAATGTATCGTGTAATCGGATTGGATTCTCGACGACAAATGAAATGGCCACGGAGAGCTTTAGTGAAGTATACTTCATTTTAAATAATTAAATTCACTAATTTCGTGGTCCGCTTGACCAGAAGATCGTGGGTTCGAATCCCGCTCGTGCCATTGCCTTTTTATCTCAACTAAAAACCTTAATTAATAGTAATTTCATAATAAAAAAGTTAAAAAGTACTGAATATGGCCTCTATACTGAAGATGGCGAGATGCCGAAACGCGTCTGCAGAAAATCAGTGAGGATAGGCAGACTAAAATAATCGGTCAAATTATGAGTACTTCTACAAATCAACTTCTCGCTGTTTAAAGCGTGTAATAGAAGATTTTTTTTTGCAAGAGACTAGAAACTGATACTATCAAAATATCGCCAGTGTACATAAGGCAGACATCAACCAAGCTGTCGCACAACACGATTCCGCACAAAAACTCTCAATTGGTAGATTCGTTACAAATAATTGAAAGATCCCATCGGCTCGTATGTTAAACTCCCGAAAACATTATGGATAAATAGATAAAGATTTTGATTCCTAGTTTACTATTGTCCATTGTTGAATGTGACTTCGTATGTATACAAGTGTCGGCGTTGCGCCAACATCAGTGAAGGTCTGGCTTAGATTTTGCCGTCACTTTCCCTTACATATTCATTTATCTCCTGTACATTATTTCACTCATGGGCGACAGGCACATGTGAACGGATTTAGAGAAAAAAGTGCGAATTCATAAATGTTCAACGTCATTCGTCTGTGACCTTAGGCTATTACCCAGTCTCAGAGCAAAAGTTTGCCTTTCTTATTTTCACAGTTGCGGATTCGGCAAATATATGTAAACAGTTTGAATAAAATTTGAATTTTATTACGTTGAGTGAACCTCTAACAAATGGAAAAAAATATAAAAATTCTGTACTAGAAGATTTTAATTATTTAATTTTTTTTATATTTATTAACTACTATTTTGCCATTGAGTTATTAAAAAATTCCTTTTAAAACTCGCGTATCTCCTTGCTTTGCTGAAGAACGAATCGTGGATAAAGTAGCCTTACCCGTCGCTGACCCTAACCCTTCCTCATCAAACCATTCCTAGTGAAATCGGAAAATGTTCAGCCAAATAAAGTTGTGTATCCAGCCCAAAAACAACAAATTTGAAACCCTAATGTTAACCCTATCTAACCTAACCCGTCCCTAACCTTACATAACTACCCCAGCCTAAACTGGCTGGAGCACTCCAGATAACTCCGAATCGATGACTAGAAAATGTTCAGACAAATAAAGTTTTGTATATCCAGCCCAAAAACAACAAAAACCTAACCCTACCTAATCTTCCTAACCCCAACAAACCCTAATGTTAACCCTATCTAACCTAACCCATCCCTAACCTTACCTAACTACCCCAGCCTAAACTGGCTTAACCCCCCCCCCACCCGTGAGCACTCCAGATAACTCCGAATCGATGACTAGAAAATGTTCAGGCAAGTAAAGTTTTGTGTATCCATCCCAAAACCAACAAATTTGAAACCCTAACGTTAACCCTCTCTAACCTAACCCATCCCTAACCTTACCTAACTACCCCAGCCTAAACTGACTTAACCCCCCCCACCCGTGGGCACTCCAGGTAACTCCGAATCAATGACTAGAAATGTTCAGGCAAATAAAGTTTTGTGTATCCAGCACATAAACAACAAAAACCTAACCCTACCTAATCTTCCTAACTGGCTTAACCCAACTTCCCGATAATGTCGAATCGATGACCATAAAAATAGTCCAATGAAGTTTTCTGTATCCAACCAAAAAAATAAAAAAATAAACAGACAACAAAATTTTCTAAGGTGACTCCTGACAATAAGGACATTTAACATATTTTCAAACAACGCCTTTATTTGATATCTTATTAGTATGACGAGAAATGTTGATCAAAGAAACAAAAATGCTACTTCTAAGAGCTAAATGCAATTTTTTGGGAGGGGCAAGCAAAAACTGAAATTTTAAATTCTAGTAAATAAGTTGACATAAGACATTAACCAAAGATATTCTGAAAACTCAGATGCTCTCTATTCAGATAAAAATTAACATTAACTTGGATTTTTGGCTAAAGCTAACAAATGTACTTTGATACAGGTAAACAAAAAACAGATTTATGGTTAAATCTGATCGTGTTTGTTTTAAGACATATTAAGACTGTTATGTAAAAAGTTTATAAATGTTTAACAAGCCTGGCATCATACTGAAATATAAAAGGATTGTCATAGGAATCCAATAAATTTCATCAGCCATCTGGAAACGAATTAGGAAAAACCTATTGAGATCTATAATTTTTTTTCGAAAATAACTTTTATATAATTGGATGATGTCGATGATGACACTTATAGTTTTGTCGATCTATTTTATTCATTCCTGAAAACTTTATCAATTCACAAGAGATGTTGAAGGATAAAAATGTTAAATAAGTAGCAAAAATTTATATATATTTTCAAGTGTGTAATAATTAGTATTATTTTTGTTTCAGACTTGTACATTCTTCAGCGAATTACAAAAACATTTAAAGGTATTTAAAGGTAATAAAATATCAATATTCATATAATTGATTATCTTTTGAGATTTGTATGTATATGTAACGATGGTATTTACTTTAATTAGGTAGGAAAATACTTTTTTTCCAATTGAACCAGTATTAAAAAGTTTATGTAAGAATTTTATATTCCTTTTTTAGAATTTTATAAAATATCTACCATAACATATCATAGGAGTTGAAATTATTCATTTACAACTAAATAATTCTGTCATAGTTGGCCTTAAGTATCAGACAAAATTAAAATGCAAAATTTGAAACCAATTCTAAAAGCCTAAATGTTTTGTGGTTCTTTTAATTGTAATGTTTCCTTTGGGATGTGTAAAATATCAGCAAACTACATTCACATTGAAATTCCAGCAACTTTATCATATTTCCTTCTTATATATCTTCAACAATATTTCAACTTGATCAATTGAAAGATGCAGTTTCTCTCTGATTTACTTTTTAATCTAATGGCCCAGAAAGATACTGCTGGCAATCTAAAACTGGATTGTATTTCGATAAGAGTGGATAGAACATAGCTTGTCCCACTTTATGCATACCAGTATGGAAAAAAATCTTTAAAGCTATTGCCCAATCTGTATGATAATTTATTGAATTTAATGCAATAAGTTGTCCATATTTAAGCTACACATTTCACATCATTGGCAACTTTAGAAAATATTGATTTCTCATCATGCTGCAAGAGAGAAAAAGACTTATCACAACTCTGGACATTATAGACACTACTACTAGTCTTTGGATTATAGACATTAATTGCTAAAAGGGCATAAGATATAATATGTATAATTGGTTTATTGAAAAACTTAAATTCAGCTACAACTGTGACAGCGTTTCAGTTGGGCGAGCTGTATAAATAATTTCATGTATGATTCACGTTGATTTATATACCTAATTACTGATAACATTATTTACCAAAGACTTGATATAAGAAAAGAAAATTAAAATGCAAAAAACAAATTCGCAAAGTAAACCAAAAGTGTTTCAAGGTAAACATTAAGTCTAGATTTCTTAAATGTTCTGCAACCAACCAATGGTCATTCCTTCCAATTTTTGGTGTTGAAAAGTGCCTTAATTAAAACGTTGTTAGGAATGTCCATTGGTTTGTGGAGTGCTAAGCAGGAAGTAGCCCATTTGGGCTGCTGAAGATGGGCCAGTAGCCCAAATCGTTAAAAAAAAAATAAAAACATCACAGATTTCTTGGATTTTTTAAAACCCTTTTTCTATACTCTACCAGGGATCGTACAACAAAATGAAGAGGATAAAATATTTGCAATTTAGAGCTTACAATTTCAACAAACACACAAATATTTCAGAGTCAAATGAAGAAAAAATTAAGAAATCCCTCGATGACCTTGACTGACCGAAGTTATGGTTTTAGCTTATTTTTTCTCTATATAACAAATTTCTGTTATAATTAAAAATGTTCCTGTAATGATTAAGGCTAATTATTCACTTGATCATACTGAATTAGCAAAGACCATTTTTTATTCATAACCATTTTTTTTTTCTTTTTACAACTTAAGCGGCCCATAGACGATCAATATTATTGCACAATATTTTGTGTTGTGCAATTTAATTGATCGTATGTAGACGATATTGAAAGTTTGTGCAATACATTGCATGATTGACGAAAAGTTGAAAATATATTGTACAACCTGGAAAATATTGCACCGTCTGTTGGCATTATTGCGCAATATGAGTCAGTTTGTGAAGTATCAACAAGTGCTCAAAATATTGCACAAATTCACTAATTTCATGGTCCGCTTGACCAATTAATAAATTACAATTAATTAAGGTTTTTAGTTGAGATAAAAAAGTTTAGTTTGAAAAATGGCAAAAAGGAGGGAAAATTCAAAGGGTGGGGTTGAGATGGGAAGTTGGTGTCCGAGTGGATTGAGGTCGTGATAGCTCGGGTGGTAGAGCGGCGACATATCTAGCCGAAGGTCGTGGGTTCGAGTCCCGCTCGTGCCATTGATTTTTTTACCTCAACTAAAAACCTTAATTAATTGTAATATTGCACAAACTTCAATATTGCCTTCAAACTATTCAAGTTCATTGCACAAACAAAATTTTGTACAATATTATTGAACTTTAAGGAGCAACCGTCAAATTATTGTGCAATCTATATTGTATGATAATGACCGTCTATGGGCCACTTACCACTGCTTTAAACAATATTGGTCTTTCTAGTTAATTGCTATGGTCAGTCTCTTTGATAATAAAATAAATAAGTAAAAATAACATATAAAATAATTCTTGTCATACAGAGGGCTTACCATCCAACTATGTTTTGGATGTCATGGATGAGAGACTAAACAGCTTTAAATACTTTTGCTTATATTATGATCAATTAAAAATCCATATGCTATGCTGGAATTCAAACCAAGAACCGCTAGCGTACAAAATATGACTCAGATGCCCTAATCACTCAGCTAATACAGTTCCTTAAATAAAAATTTTGTTTAAAATATTTGTTTAAATTTAAAAATGTTTGTAATGTAGGTATATAAATATTGAATATTTGATAATGATATGTACAAATTGCTAATGTGTTTACAATGTCTCTGAAGTCAGGGTGTCTCTTACAAGTCACAGTGAGCCACTATATAATATAAAATAAATTCTTGATATAGGGGTGGTATAACTAACAGTTGTATGTCATGGATGTGTGGTCAGACCATATTACTCTGCTTTATTCAAATTATACTTAAATAAAATTTCAAGGGCAGTGGCGAAATTTAAATTAACCAGCATTGCAAATACGAGAATCAAGATGCTCTAATGACTCAGCCATCATTAGTCAGNACGCCCCCTATAGTATTGATTTGATAACAGATGAAGCATTGAAATATTTACAATACGAAAGAAGTTCACAAATTTCTCTATCCAGTGGCTGCTAGTTAAATTAGGACACTAATGACTCGACCTATGTGTATTTACTATCATGGATCGTATTCATTAGGCAATGTAAAATTATTAGTTGGCCGCAGGACTAGTTTTATAAATAATTTATTAAAAAAATGCAATGTGTAGGAATACACATTGCATGCAATTATGAAAACTTAGTACAACCCTGAAAATATTTTTTTAACCTTTTTTATTAATTTAAATTTTAATTGATAAGATGTTTAATTGGTCTCAGATTAATTTATAAAGTTTGGTGTAGTTTTGTTATATATTTTTCCAGCATTATATTCTTGATTTTACATATTACCACTATATTATGAGATAAGTATCATTGATCCTTACAATGTATCCCTTTTCCAATCCTTACCTCCTATTCCTCTGCCCTGTAAAACAACCAACCAATCTATCAAAAAACTAGGGATAATTTTTGATCAATCCCTATCCTGGAAACCCTTCATTTCTCAAATCTCTCGCTGCCTTCTCCATCCTCTGCCAATTCTATCATTCAGGATTCAAATTCTTCCCGATCAGCACTTGCAAATGCCTGGTCTCCTCACTTGTCCTTCCCCATTTCAATTATGGCTGTTTGATCTATGGTGGACTCCCCAATGAGCTTGTGGACAAATTTGAAGAGAATCATGAACTGCTTTCTTCAGTTCATATTTAGCTCCTCAAAGAGATCTCGTGTCTAATATGTATTGTGATTTGAAATGGCTGTACCACTCTTATGTGGCTATGCTTTCTTGGCTCCTTCCTCTATCAACCAATTTCTTGCCATTCCCGTTCCTACATTTATAATCTGTTAACATTTACGTCTTACAATTAATTAAGGTTTTTAGTTGAGATAAAAAAGTCAATGGCACGAGCAGGATTCGAACCCACGATCTTCGGCTTGATACGCCGCTGCTCTACCACTTGAGCTATCGTGACCTCGATCCACTCGGACACCAACTTCCCATCTCAACCTCACCTTTTGAATTTTCCCTCCTTTTTGCCATTTTTCAAATGTCGTGTAATCNTGCGGTTGAGATGGGAAGTTGGTGTCCGAGTGGATCGAGGTCACGATAGCTCAAGTGGTAGAGCACCGGCGTATCTAGCCGAAGGTCGTGGGTTCGAATCCCGCTCGTGCCATTGACTTTTTTATCTCAACTAAAAACCTTAATTAATTGTAATAAATAATAATGTTTTTGTTTAGCATTATTAATTTTAATTTTTTAACAAGATTATCTTCTTTCAGGAAATTGCCATGGCTAGCTTCTATAGGGCTCATGGAGAATTCTGTGCAAATCATCCATGGGAGGTGATTGTTGCCACGCTTACATTAACAGCTTGTATTTTATCTATTGATACAGGAGGAATATATTCTCTTACTCCTGCCTCACACTCAATATACACATGCCCAGTGCCCCCCTGTCAGGTAAAAACAAATCCTTTCCAATAAATTATTAGTTATTATTTAATGCCATTTGTGATATAATGATGTTTCTATGTTCTTTATGTAAGGAATATAGTGCAGTGGATGTAATTGTGATGGCATCAATTCGTTGCATGGCCGTTCTATATAGCTATTATCAATTTAGAAATCTACATAAACTTGGATCAAAATACATTTTAGGTAACTATTAAAAAATAAATTATTATGTATGCATTCAGATTTATAAACATGTGACTTGATGGAGATATACAACACAAATAACACAAACAAGAAAGTTATGTACACAAAAAAAAAATTAAATGGGTGGATATTCGCAAATTTCCTCATTGAATTTTTGCAACAAAAAAATTCGCCTGAAAAAGTCATTATTTCCAAATTTTAAAAAGCTATTGTTTGGCAGATTTTATAATGCAATCACAATATTTTGTTGTCTGATTTTGTCAAATAATTCTGGCAGACCAAAACAGTAGGGTTAAAAGGCAAAAAAACCAGAAATGACCAAACCATAGGTCAACACAGTACAAACCAACCCCAAAGAGAAAATCTCACAATGATTTAAGTTCATCAATGGTTTTTCTAGCTCTGATTTTGTCAAACATTTCTGGCAGACCAAAACAGTAGTATAAACAGGCCAAAATGACTAGAACGACCAAACTTCAGGTCAACAGCTCACAAACCAACACCAAAAAGGAAATCTCATAGTGATTTAAGTTCATCAATGGTTTTTCTAGCTCTGATTTTGTCAAACATTTCTGGCAGACCAAAACAGTAGGGTTAAAAGGCAAAAATACCAGAAATGACCAAACCATAGGTCAACACAGTACAAACCAACCCCAAAGAGAAAATCTCACAATGATTTAAGTTCATCATTGGTTTTTCTGGCTTTTATTTTGTCAAACAAAATTTAAAATTATTTTGCAATAATACTGTTTAATATTTAATTCAACTCTTTTATTGTATACCATCAGTCTTATTTGGCCGAGAGAATTTATTTATCAGAATTTATATATATATTTTTTTTTCCAAACTACTCTGGCCTGTCAGACTTGCTTGGCCAAAAAAATACAAATTCCGATAAATAAATTCTCTGATTTGCTAAAATAAATAAATTGCTCTCACAAAACCCACAGGCAAGCCACCCGGCCGAGCACAGCTCGACACCCTTCTTCAAAGCTTAGATCTCCCTATCACAATCCTGAAGAAGCCTATATAATAGTTTGTACGGATGTTCGCATCCCATAGCCGAAACCCTCTCCAAACTGAAAAGTTCGCTAGTCTCTTTTGAGTTAATCGGTCAAAAAATATCTTTCTCTCCTTCTTGTACTCTGGACAGAATAAAACACTGTGTTTGATACTTTCCAGCTCATCATGTTATGCGGTTAGGAGGAAGTCTCAGTTTAATCCTTTTTAAGTAGGCACCCCATGTGGAGTGATTTGATCAGATTCAGGATATCATAGAAAAGAAACTTTTACTTCTTATCATGCCTGAAAACCAAGTGATATGATTTGGTTGTTGGAACATAGATTTGTATATCGATCCGCCTGCCCTATTAATATATCATGATCACCATTTTTCTCTCCATTTTGTGTTTAAGAATCTTTCAGCATCAGCTTTTGTTAATCTGTTTTTGTCAGGTTCTCCATGGGCTGTAGCATCTTTGCCAAAATGGCGGCATGTTGTACGCCACGGTCTCATTATGTTGTAAGCCACAGTGTCCCTGACTCAAAAAAAAAACTACATTTTTATTTTTAGTTTTGAAATTAAAAGATTCATTTATAATTCAGTGACCAGATAGTCACATTTAGAGTTAGGATGGAAATGTACTATTTGAGCTATTGAACTCATACTTTACTTAGATCATGCGGTAAACATGCACAAATTGTTTTGAAGCAGTAAGAAAGAAAATATTTTATGATTTACAGCGAACTCTTCAAGAGACTTTTTTTTATAAACTGACCGTTTTCTGTTGGAATTAATTAATTAAACATCTTATCTTCCTACTCACAGTGCATGTACAGTACCTTAGTTCCTACACATTTACTGTGAGTAGGAACTATCTTTAAAAAAAAAAAAAAAAGGATTGAACACCGCACTCACTCCATCATTCATCATTTCTATTATCTTACTATGTAAGTAGAAATGCAGAGTAATGTTATTAAAACAATAACAAATTATAAACTGCACCAAACTTTCTGGTTACCTGGTAATAAGTACAGAGCAAACTACCGCAAAGTTTTACATTGTATAAAAATAACCCACCACCAGAAATAGAATATAAATTTTAAATTTTCCCTCCTTTTTGCCATTTTTCAAAAAGGTGGGGTTGAGATGGGAAGTTAGTGTCCGAGTGGATCAAGGTCACGATAGCTCAAGTGGTAGAGCAGCGGCGTATCTAGCCGAAGATCGTGGGTTCGAATCCCGCTCGTGCCATTGACTTTTTTATCTCAACTAAAAACCTTAATTAATTGTAATATATTAATTGGTCAAGCAGACTACGAAATTAGTGAATTTAGTGTGTATAATGATGAAGAAGCTTAACAATTTTCATGACAATCACAAATTGGATAGTCAGCAAGTGTGTGCAGAGTGAGAACAGAATCGGGTACCCAATGTGTTCAATCGAGTATGTGTCGGTCAATAAAAATTGCACTCACATAGGGATAGGGTTTTATAGAGGTGGCCTTCTGCACCTCAAACTGAGTAGATCTTTTGTGCTCCTCTGTTTTTGTATAACGCATTGACTAGCTTCAGGTTGTTAATCAACCTCCATAGCCTTACAAGCGGCTCCTTAGTGTAGGATCTTGCTCGTGATTTTTCCTCTCGTAGTTGCTAGAATCTGCATGTACGTAATGTACTGCACCTTCACGAAAGCATAAAATGTGTTCTTCATTCTCCTCCTCTTCCTGGCAGTATCTGCACAGTGTTTCTTCTGTCAGTACTCCTTTCCAGTGCATGTGCCTTCTTAGGTGGCAGTGCCCTGTCAGGATCCTGGTTCGGTTGCAGTTGCCTTCCAGTAATTCTCTTGTAAGTTTTGCAAATGGCCCTTCTATGAACCACTTCGCGTGCCTCATGCCTGGAGTCTTATTTTACCAAACTTTGGACTCATTTAAGAAATATCCACTTTTCCGGGAAGATGCTAAGACACAATAGGGCTCAGGACATAGAGAGTCCATGTTGGCCCCCTCTTTGGCCAACATGTCAACCTTTTCGTTGCCTCTATGGCTATGCCCCGAGTACCCAGGGACCCATGCCAGGGTCAGGTCATCAGTGTCACTGACTTCCTTCAGGGCTTCATTGCAGTTTCAAACATTCTTTGCCTTGACCTCGCTTGAGGCTAGGGCCTTTAATGCTGCCTTAATGTCAGAGAAGATGGCTATGTTCTGGGAATGTATTCCTAGCCTTTTTATTTCCCTGCAGTGTTCAATTGCTATGATATTAGACTGGAAAACTGTAGTATATTTACATAAGTTTAGAGACAGTTCAGCCTTTGGATTCGTCCCAGAGATTCCATCCACCGTGCCCTTGTCAGTTTTTGAGAAGAATTTGCCTTCAGCGAGGTTCCTTTGGCCCATTCTTCCAGTTATGGTATCAGTATCTTGCACTTTTCAGTAAAGTTGTAATTTTGGAGTAGTGGCATTGACTGGCATGCCTAACATGGCATCTGCCTGTATGTAACTCCCTTAGTTTGCATTGATAATTTACATGGCATATCCTTGCAGATGGTTGTCCAATTATGAGCCAGTGGGCTGCTGCTCCTGCATCTCCCTGGATTAACCGGTCACTGGTATCTGAGAAAACATCTACACAACATGGGTATATATAGCGATGATCCCATTTGCAGATTATGTAATGAGGAGGAGGAAACAGCTACCCATATCGTCTTCGAATGCGAAGCAACAGCTCAATGGAGGTTTAACCTAAAGTACGGAAAAGACTTAGGGAATCAAATTGCAGCAGCAACAGTCAATGACCTGATACTTCTAAGAAGAAGGATTAAGTCTATTGACTGAACTAAGGAACTAGGAAGGTACAATAAGCCAGAAGGCTGCAGTGCCTGGGGAATACAAACCCCGCTTCTAGTATCCTTTTCCACCATAACATACCCTGGATTAAAATATGGAGTGGTAGGAGTTTTAACCACACTTCCAAGGCCGCAGTTGGCTTTTTTTCTCATGGCTTCAGTGACACTGAGACAAGTTTGTCTTTGGGTGCTACTTATTATTCTAATGCTTTGGCATGCAGAGTCTTGGCCCACTGCGCACTCCACTGACCCTATGTCAGCATTGGTCTTAAAACACAGGTGGTCATTTTGGGGTTTAATCCCCAGTTGTTGGCACAGAGCCTTTTGCACCTCCCCCAGGCAATTTTAACTCTTTGGTTTTTTTTAGTTATATGTTAATTCCATGTGAGCCATTGGTCTAATGTGATCCCTAGATATTTGGCCTGCTTGGAAAACAGGATCGAGGTCCTGGTTAGGCTTCCTTTTGTCCTCTTCCTTGTGAATGGAACCATTATGGTTTTGTAGGGGTTAATAGATAGTTCCTCCCTTTTACACCACCTTCAACCAGGTTAGGGGTTTGTTGTATACGATCTATCATGATGTGTACATGGTAGCTCTTTACCACTACAGCAAAGCATAGCCTCCACGCTAGGAAGGTTCCGAATAGCCTAAGTAAGGCATCAGGATCTCTTGACCCTTTTGTAGTAGCTCTGGGTAGATTCCGTCTACTGGCACCTTATATGGGCTAAACTTCTCAAGGGCCCAGAAGATGGCTTTAGGTTGTATTATGGTTGCCACCTCCTTCTACTCTTCTTTTGTGGGTCTTTTTGGTTTTGAGTGCTCAAGGAGTATTTCTCATGGATTATTTCTTGAGTGGATTATTAATTGAGAGGAAGGAAGCTTGTAATAATGCCCACTATTCTATGTGAGTTTTTATAATGCATTCATAGGTTTTTTAATGCATGACCCTAAAGAAATTGGTCCATACGAACTAGAGGAATGAAGTGGTTTGCCAGCTTTTTTAATTAATATTACTAAAATATCCTTCCATTTATCGGGAATTTTGCAACTCATCCAAATACCACTAAATACTTTGAGAAGAGCATGCTTGATATACACGGGAAAATTATTAATCATTCTATAATGAATTTGATCCATACCTGAAGAACTACAATTTGTGTTTTTCAGAGAGAAATTAAGTTCTGCAAAAGTGAATGGGGCTTCCAAATTTCTGTTTTATGTAACAACATGTATTTGAACAAAATGAGTACTTCTGTAACTTCAGGTCCATCTGTTCTATTTTTCTTTTAAATTCAGTTCTATTAAAAATGTAAATTTTTTTTTTTGTATTCCACTTTTCTTGTGAATGAATGTATTTATTAGCATGAATATATGAATGAGTAGCCAATAGCAAAATATTTTGTTTACCATTGTTTTCTTCAAATGGGTACTTATTTGTTAATCTGTCATATTGTGATGTTTATTACAAGTATTAATAAACAAATATAATTTACAGGTATAGCTGCTCTCTTCACTGTGTTTTCAAGTTTTGTGTTTAGTTCTGGGGTGATCAATTGTTTACATGGAAACATATCCGATCTTGAGTAAGTTACTTTGTAGTTCAGTTATAGTCGGTTTTTTTGCTAGGGTTATTAATTAATTTTATTTTGTGAACAGAGATGCTCTTTTCTTTTTTCTACTTTTAATTGATTTGTCAAGGGCAACAATATTGGCCCAATTTGCACTAAGCGCTTCAACTCAAGATGAAGTTAAAAAAAATATTGCCAGAGGTTTTGAACTTCTAGGACCTACTTTGACGCTGGATACAGTAGTCGAAACATTGGCAATTAGCGTGGGCACACTTTCTGGCAAGTTATGATCTAATACTGTATTATAATTCTAGACAATGTGGATAATATAATAATCAAGGTTTTTATATGTTTAGGAATAAGAAGACTTGAACTACTTTGCTCCTTTGCTTGCATGTCAGTTGTAGTGAATTACCTCGTATTCATGACATTCTACCCAGCGTGTTTGAGCTTAATACTTGAAGTGATTATTGCAATTTATCATTATATCATTAATAATGTTAATAATAATATAATATATCATTTACTTTTTATAGATAAAATTAAAGTATTGGTGAACATTTAGAAAAATCTTGTTTATAGATGCCATGTATTCTCATGTTTATTTGGTGTAACAATTGCAATAATTACAATTAATTAAGATTTTTAGTTGAGATAAAAAGTCAATGGCACGAGCGGGATTCGAACCCACGATCTTCGGCTAAATACGCCGCTGCTCTCCCACTTGATCTATCGTGACCTCGATCCACTTGGACACTAACTTCCCATCTCAACCTCACCTTTTGAATTTTCCCTCCTTTTTGCCAGGTTGAGATGGGAAGTTAGTGTCCGAGTGGATCAAGGACACGATAGCTCAAGTGGTAGAGCAGCGGCGTATCTAGCCGAAGATCGTGGGTTCGAATCCCACTCGTGCCATTGACTTTTTTATCTCAACTAAAAACCTTAATTAATTGTAATATATTAATTGGTCAAGCGGACCACGAAATTAGTGAATTTAATTGCAATAATTATAATAATATGAAATTGTCTTTACACTTTCAGTTGTCTAAAAGTAAAGAACCAGGAAAAAAACCATCTTGGCATTATAATTCAGAAGTGCATGACATAAAAGATGGCGAACAAAAACCAAACCCTGTTTTACAACGTGTTAAAATTATCATGTCTGCTGGACTTGTTGTAGTACATCTTCACAGGTAAATACATTTATAAATTAAACATATATAAGTTTAAATAATTATTAGGTTTAAAATTAACAACTAGCTAGTTTTTTAATATTTACAAGCAACAGAAACAATTGATACAATAGAATATTATTCATTTGCTATTTTTTAAATATTTTTTAGTCGTTGGACCATTAAAGGATTGGAGGGACAGGAACACAATGTATTACCTCTTGTATCAAGCGAGCACACTGTTCCTTCAAATTCAACTGACAATGAAGAAATTCGTGGATATTTATACAGGTAAATCATTGTTGTTAAAGTACTTTTTTTTGGACAAAAAGTAATTTGTTTATATTTAAAGATGGATTACTGTCAGTGCTGATCATGTAGTTATATTGATCCTTCTACTAGCGCTGACTGTCAAGTTTGTATTTTTTGAAGACAAGGAAGAAATCATCGCAGGAGATGTGATCACATCGAAAGGTATTTTCTTTTTTAACACTATCCAATTATAGTTTATTATTTATAATCTTTATTTTGAATTAAATATGTAACTTGATCCTTACAGATCATCATTATCTACTTAACCTCACTGGGTTGGTATGTCTGACAATTTGCAGCAGTTCGCCTTCTTAAGTGTTGGGTCTACATGATATTTGTGAGTCAAGATTGAAGAAGAACAAAAACCCAATATTGAAGATGACGAACTGCTGAATATTGTTTGGCAGACCCAAAGCAGCAAGGATAAGCAGACAGTGATGATCTTTAAGGTTCAATTACATATATAATTTTTCTTTTCTAAAAAACAAAGAACCGTTTCACTAAATTTCTTAATATCAAATGCTTCAAAGATGAATATATCCAGTATGTAACCTAATCTCCCTAATCCTAACCCTAACACTCACCTTAACCTGTCTCTAATCTTAACCCCAAGACTGAACAAAATCAAACCAATTTCTAATCTTAACCCTAACACTAATTCTAATCTAACTTGTCCCTGATCATAACGCTCACACTCGTTCTAACTTAACCTGTTCCCGGTTTCAACCCTAATACTCACCCTTACCTAACCAAACTGTTCCCAATCTTAATCTTAACACTCATCCTAACCTGTCCCTAACCTTAACCCCAAGTCTCAGCCTAAACAAACTCATTCCTAACTTTTACCCTATCATTCACCACCCTAACCTGTCCCTAATCTTAACCCCAGCGCTCCATCAAACCTAACCTGTCCCTAGCCTTAACCCCAAGTCTCATTCTAACCAAACTCATTCCTAACTTTTACCCTATCATTCACCACCCTAACCTGTCCCTAATCTTAACCCCAGCACTCCATCAAACCTAACCTGTCCCTAACCTTATCCCCAAGTCTCAGTCTGAACAAACTCATTCCTAACTTTTACCCTATCATTCACCACCCTAACCTGTCCCTAATCTTAACCCCAAGTCTCAGCCCAAACAAACTCATTCCTAACTTTTACCCTATCATTCACCACCCTAACCTGTCCCGAATCTTAACCCCAGCACTCCATCAAACCTAACCTGTCTCTAATCTGAACCCTAACACTCACCCTAACCTAACAAAACATGTTCCTAACCTTTAGCCTAACACACACCCTAACCTGTCCCTAATCTTAACCCCAGGACTAACCAAACCTAACCTCCCCAGTTATGCAAAATTATCATACAAAGAAAAAATTGATCATCCAACCCAAAAACAAATCTATAATGAACTGTTTAATATAAACCTGGTTATTGTTCCATTTCAGGAATAGGCATAAAACCTTTCATCGGAGAAGAAATCAACACAAAAAACTTTCACACACAAAGAGAATCTAAACTCATCCAAACAGAAGAAATGTTTGCAATGGAACTGCATGCATTGGAATCAACGGCGGTCAACACCGCAATCACCAATGTTCACGACTCAAAACTCATAAGGCCATTAGAAGATTGTTTGTCAATTTATAAAAAAGATGTAAGTGTAGATGTCCTGCTTTTCATCTTATATTATAAAACAATTTTTTTTTCCAAAAAAAACCATTTTTAAATAACTTTATGTTATACTTTAGGGTATGGCAGAAAATTTGAGTGATCTTGAAGTTGAACTTCTTGTTGAGAAAGGACATATCCCAACATATTCACTAGAAAAAGCTGTGAACAATCCTGAAAGGGGAGTCAAAATCAGGCGCAAGATTGTTGGTAGCGTTGGGGGCTTTCCAGAAGCAATTTCAAGTTTACCATATAAAAATTATGATTATAGTAAGGTAATGTTTATAATTAATTTTATTAAATTAATTTAAATCATTAGATCTCAAAAACTAGCAATATATTGTTTACTAATGTGTGACATTTTTGTGATACTGTACTTGAGAAAAGCACACTAATAATTTTGTAAAACTCACAAAGGTTTTAGGTGCTTGTTGTGAAAATGTAGTTGGCTACATGCCAATTCCAGTAGGAATGGCTGGACCGTTACTTCTCGATGGACAACTATTTCATGTACCAATGGCGACCACTGAAGGCTGTTTAGTAGCAAGTACCAATAGAGGATGTAGAGCGTTAATGAATTGTGGAGTTACAAGTCGTGTTGTAGCTGACGGAATGACTCGAGGCCCAGTTGTACGTTTCAAATCTATCACAAGGGCCAGGTAATTAGCACAATTTTTTTTTTTTCAAATGGAAAATTACACCCAAAATGCTTACACATACTATAAGAATGTTTATATTAGTGAAGTGATGGAATGGCTGCAAGTCCCTGAAAATTTCATAAAAATAAAGGAAAGTTTTGATTCGACCAGCAGATTTGCAAGGCTAAGTAAACTGCACATGAGAATAGCTGGAAGATATTTGTTTATTCGATTTGTTGCGACGACAGGAGATGCGATGGGAATGAACATGGCATCAAAAGTATAGTTTGCTTTATTATAAAAATAAATTATTTCTCTCTTATAATAACTATAAAATAAAATATTTATAATTCAGGGTACAGAAGTAGCATTAAATTATATTCAAACGCTATTTGAAGATATGGAAATTCTTAGTCTCAGTGGAAATTTTTGTGCTGATAAAAAACCTGCAGCAGTAAACTGGTAATAAATTTGTGCGGTACATTATAATTTATACTATCTGCTTGTAAAAAATGGATTTTCTTTCTATGTTATCTTGGATTGTCTTATATTTTTTTCAAATTTAGGATTGAAGGGAGAGGGAAATCTGTTGTTTGCCAAGCGACTGTTCCATCGAATGTTGTTAAAAAGATACTAAAAACTTCAGTCCAGGCGCTTGTCGATGTAAATATAAGCAAAAATTTAGTTGGCTCTGCAGTTGCAGGTAGCATTGGAGGTTTCAACGCTCATGCTGCAAATATTGTAACAGCAATATTTATCGCTACTGGACAAGTGAGTATGTTAATATCGATAAAATGTGCATTATTTTCAACTCGTTTCATTTTTAATTCTAAAGGACCCAGCGCAAAATGTCAGCAGTAGCAATTGTATGACATTAATGGAGCCTTGGGGAGATGAAGGCCAAGATTTGCATGTGTCTTGCACTATGCCTTCCATCGAAATTGGAACAGTAGGTGGTGGAACACAACTCCCTGCTCAGGCAGCGTGCCTCGATTTCTTAGGGGTCCGAGGTACAGCAATATTACAATTTTGTGCAATTTATACAATAATTAAGGGTAACAAAACTTTAATGAGATAAACAGGTTTAGTTTCATTTTGAAGAACTATGTATTTTCCTCTCAGATTTTCCTTAATTTTATTGATCAATTGTTGGTAAGGCAATTAAAAAAAAATTAACCTAGTTTTTTCAATCCTACTTACAATATTAACATTATGCATAGTTTACAATTAATTAAAGTTTTTAGTTGAGATGAAAAAAGTTAATGGCACGAGAGGGATTCGAACCCACGACCTTCGGCTAGATACGCCGCTGCTCTACCACCTGAGCTATCGTGAGACTTCGATCCACTCGGACATCAACTCCCCATCTCAACCCCACCTTTTGAGTTTTCCCTCCTTTTTGCCATTTTTCAAACTCATAAGGTGGGGTTGAGATGGGGAGTTGATGTCCAAGTGGATCGAAGTCACGATAGCTCAGGTGGTAGAGCAGCGGCGTATCTAGCCAAAGGTCGTGGGTTCGAATCCCTCTCGTGCCATTAACTTTTTTTCATCTCAACTAAAAACATTAATTAATTATAAAGTATTAATTGGTCAAGCGGACCACGAAATTAGTGAAATTATGCATAGTTTTTCTACATTCAATTGTAAAAATTAATAGTCTTTATTATTTTATGTTTACTACTTGAACCAGTCAAGTTGGGCTTGACTTTGAACAAAAGAAAAAAGTGTTTTCCATATATGGTTTGCAGAGGAAAGAAGTAATGTAAAATGTATATTTTTTTAGGTGCACATGATACATGTCCAGGTCAGAATGCTAACATGCTAGCGAGAATTGTCTGTGCTTCTGTCCTAGCTGGAGAACTTTCTCTTTTGTCTGCTCTCGCCTCCGGCCATTTGGTGAAAAGTCATTTAAGACATAACAGGTACAATTCTAATTATTAAAATAAATTTAAGATCAATTATTATTAATAATGTTGTTTACAAAAACAGATCGTCAGCTGCTGTAAATGATTTGACACAACAGAATAAAGTACCTCCGTTCGTTGGATCAAGTAAATGAATAAATTAATTAAAACCAATTTCAAAAAGACTCTTTTATGTACTAAAAGTTAATACTTTTATATAAGTTAATAATTATTTTGAGATTTGTGTGAGTAGTTTGTTTTATTTCTGATGTATGAATTTTTTAAAGACTTAATAGGTATAGCACATAAAATAATATATATTTGTTTGCATTTATTGGTTCTAAGTGAATATACATATAAATACATTTTATGCTCTAGGATAAGTAGAAATTAAAGTATGTGTGAATTTACTGATTGCAGGTAAATGTGATACCTATGTAAAAATTAAAAAAAAGGTTTTTGGTGCTGAAAAGAACGTTTCAGATTTTACATTGCAATTGATTTTTATAGTATTTACAATTTTCTTTAGTGAAGAAAAATACATTGGAAATATATCAGAATGATTAATTATTCTCCAAACTTGAAATAATAATTAGTAATGTAAATAACGAGGATAAGAAATATGGTGATATGTATTTAATTTATATAAACAACATCATTTGGTTACTTAAGTAAAATTTGTAACTTAAGAGTTTACATTACTCTACTGTAAAATAATAATCACTCATTTTCAAAAACTGAATACAAAATGACTATAATTCAAATAACATAGTCTAGCTCAAATATGATTTTTATTGTACTAGAATGGACAAAATGTGATAAATTTATTAACTAATGTTTATTCCTTATCATTTAATATAAATTTGGAAAACGATTTTTCAATGGTTCAATTTCAGGGAAAAAAATCAAAACAAAATTTTAATAGATTTTCATAATTGTTTCTTTAAATGTATGTCTGTTGCTCAGTTGAACTTTGAAGATGTATTTCTTTAGGAAGTTCGGAGGTTTTGAATATGTGCATTGCATTACTTAATTAAATAATAAGTCCAATCATTTGGTAATATTTAAAGATAGGAAGAATCCACTTTAGATGCACTGTAAGAAATTATTCTAGTCTGAATAAATCATAAATACGGTTAAGAGTAGGACAAAACAAATAGATGTATATAAAAATTATAATAAGTTTTGACATTTAATGTTTTTATTATTCCTGTTTTCTTTATTATTACATATTACACACAAACACTTTTATACAATGAAAATTGTACTCGCTGAAGCATAGTAAAAAAGATCACCGTGAGAATCACCTACTTCGTGTATGGCAGTCCGGGGTCAGGCCTCTGTCTCTGTTCCACCACCAAAGTGAGGCTCCAAGGATGGTAACGGCAGGTCATTCCAGCCAACACATGGAGGTTTTAAACTTAGACACTCACTCTCACTCTTAAATATATTTCTTTTCTATTTGCATACCATTCACTCAAGTAGGGTGGTAGAGTTGCTCAATATTCCTTTACACATTATATGTATTAAGTAATTGAGCGTTGATGATTACTCAACATTCTGCCATCAGCCACTTTTAGGGATAGGGAAAATTCCGGGAAAAAAAGGCCTTCTGCACAGTGACCTGAGAAGATCTATGTGCTCCCCTGTTTTATTTTTTTCAAGAACCAACACGTCAAAAAGAGCTAACATGTCTGGCTATTTTTAGGTGGATTGAGCCACTAAGTGCTAAAAAACATAGAAAAAGACATATAAACCAATAATGAAGGCATAATAAATATACTTTTAAACTGAAAATGGTAATTTTTATTGATTGACGCTAATATTAACATGTTCTCATGCACATGCACTTTTAAAAATCATTAACAAACCAAATAAGTGACAATTGATGTTACAAGATTTGGTTCAAGACTAGTTACAGTAATGTTACTAAAATATGCATGGTAAATTGGTGTAATATATTTTATTATAATTCAAATGTTCAAAATTATGTACACCATTGAAAATTCAAAACAAAAATTGTCCATGTTAAGCAATAGACAATTATATAAATCTTAAGTTTTGTTGTTATAATTGAAAAACTTAAATTTCTATGGTGCTCTTTCAGATATTGTTTTATGACTTATTTGTCATTAAAGTCCCATTAATTACTAAATAGGGTTAGTATTAATGACAAAATAATATCCTTTTCTTTTAATAGGCCTTTTAAATATATGTTTATACATACTTTCAAATTTAATTAAAATGTAGAAACGTGTTACAACATAGTTAATTGGGGGTTAACTTTCTTGCATGGACATGTGATTTCTTAAATAATTATAACAAATTGTAAGTACCTTTCCATAAAAAAAATTTTTTAATGTCTGCACGTTTTGTGTATTAATTATATTATAGATATTGCATTGAACAATAGCATTTAATAAATAAGTTCATTATGGAATATTCTCCTTTATATATAGTTTTATAAAGGTAATTTTTTTTCCTTTTTAAATACCAATCACATACAATAAATTTAGTTAAAGTACTCCTTTGACAAAAATTTTGTCACAATTCATTAAAAACAGCACTGTAACCTCTCTGATGAAAAAAACACAACTGCAATTTATGTACATAACTATTGTTATTTCATTATTTTTTAAAATGCTTCACAATCGTTTTCAAGTTTTAATACTATAAAAAAATATATTTATCCAATACACATTTATATTACAAAAGGCCTTATAACATGTAATACAATTTTGTTTACTTTTAGCAGTTAGTTGTACATATTAATAAACCAAGGAAATTATAGATGTATAAGGCCTTAAAACAGCCTCATTTTAACAACCTATTTCCTGACCAATACTTTTTTACTAGGAATGTACTCTGCTTTTAAAATCTAAGTATCGTTTTTAACGACTGCTAAACAAAGTTCCACATAAAAGAAAAATTATTCAAGTTTGTAGCTTAACAATTAAATTAATTTCTCAATGTGAGGTATATTTTTCTTTCTAATCGATAATCTATCACGTTTTGTAGTTGGTAACAGTAATCTAAATTATTGATTTATTTAACCAACTTTTTGTTAGTTTATAAAATAAAACAGTTATCAAAATATATTCAAGTTTGTATTAAAGAGCAATACAAAAAATATATCATCTTCAAACGAAAGTGTTTTAGACATAACTTACAGAATGCATATATAAAAGCACTTTACTTCACAGTCTATAGTAGCATGGTGATCCCATTTGAGAAAGTCTAGCAAAAATTAAATTATGCTTGTAACTATAAAAACAAAATCCTTCAAATTAAGTAGCACAACTTTTAACAATTTATTTGAAATGTTTCAAGGAATGATTTCACAACAATTTCAAATAATTAATAACAAATGCTTTGTATAACATATAAATACATGTAAAAATAAATTATGACTTAAAAAAAAAACTTTTTTCTAAAACACAACACGAATGTTGAAAATCCCAAATGGTTCCACCAAATATCTATTTCATTTGAGAATTAGGTTTATATTTTATCCAAAATCTACAACTTCAAGGTTTAGGCAAACCTAGTTTAGAAACCTAATGGACATTTTCTGTTCGACGTCTGTTCTTTCTAGGGCTTTACAAAATTCATCGAACGATATCATTTGATCACCGTTCTGATCAGCTTCGAGAATTGTTCTTTCAGCAATCGATGTGAGCTGTTCCTCACTGAAATCGAAAACTTTGCATAAATCAAACTTAGTTTAATTTTTGAATATAACTCTTAAAACAAAACAGAAAAACAACATATAACTAACCTTATGTTGGCTCCAACCATCATGTGCAACACAGCTAACAACTCATCTCGTGATATAAGATCATCATTGTCAAGATCATACATCTTGAAAGCAACTAAAAGCAAACATTAAATAATTACATTTAAATTAACAATTTAATTTTATAGCTTAAATAATATTACACTTTTTCCATAGCCCAATAAAGAATTTACTTATATCAAAATACAATAAACTATACAAATATATATCCCTCCTCAAAGCACACCTGAGGAAATAAGCAAAGAAGAATTACAGAAAGTGCACAGCTGCCTTAAGGGTAATAGATTTTATTTTTAGGTCACAGTGAAAAAAAAGGGAGATTATCGTCACTTGTCAGTGACACTGGGGAAAAAAATTAGATGATGTAGCTTGGGTATTTCCAATCACCTGTCATTAGTATTCTGGTCAGTCAGACCTGTTTCGCATTTTTGCCATGAAAATGGCAAAATTAAACAGACCAAAATAATCAGAAATGACCAATTTTCTCGAGGATTTAACATTTCGGTGTTGTTATAACTTTCTATCCAGCATTAAACATACTAATCGTATATTTAGAAATTAGTAAGATTGAAGTGCACATGCGTTGGGTTAAGTTAAATTAGGGTTAGGGACAGGTTAGGTTAGGTTAAAAAAACATACTCATGATTCATTGTTTTTCTATGAAACAGAGAAAATATGAGAGTGTGAAGCTCAAGTTTTCAATTCATATAAGTTTTCCAAATTGAAATCGAAGAAATATCAGATAAATTATCACTTTTTGTGTTTTATTTAAACGCTTGCACCCTCATTTGTAATTTTATCGGCTAGTTCGTTCACATCCTCTCTCATTCATTACCTTATTGTTTCTTTCCAAATTATCAGAGAAAGTATACAAGTACAATGCGCTTAACGCTACCTCGTTAGGGATTAGAGGTTTCCTCCTGGCAAGGGGTCTAGTCAACAAAGAGGTTGGTAGGGCTGAAGGAGGGTTTCCGGATATGCGGAAACCCCTGGATCTCAGGTTATCTCAGGCCCAACTCAAAATTAGGCCTGCCACAACCGAATGTGGGGAAAATGTCCACAAATTAAGCCTCTCTTCCCATCCCAGTTCCTTGGGCTACTATAAAAAGAGAAGGTTGGAAAAAGTGAGAATCAAATGTCAGGAGACTGGACACAGTAGGGCTCAGGACAGAGAGTTCATGTTGGTCCCCACTTTGGCCAACATGTCACCCTTTTTGTTGCCTCTATGGCCCGAGTGCCCAGGGACCCATACTAGGGTCGGATTATCAGTGTCACTGACTTCCTTCAGGGCCTCGTTGCAGTTTCAAACATTCTTTGCCTTCACCTCGCATGAGGCTAGGGCCTTTAGTGCTGCCTGGTTGTCAGAGAAGATGTCTATCTTCTGGGAAAGTATACCTAGCCTTTTTATTTCCTTCGTGCAGTGTTCAAACACTATGATTTCAGACAGTGAAAATCACAGAAAAAGTTTTAAAAAATCAAATGTCAGCCTAACAGCCCAAATGAAACATTAAAAAATGAGCCGAGTTAGTGTCTCAAATGCAGAGTCAGCTAATCAAGGTACTTAAGACAAAAAAATAATGGACAAGTATTTAAGACCATGACCAGGGACGAGCCAAGTTGGAAGAAATTAAGGAACGCCAATCAATTAGAATGGCCTTAACGAGAGTTCCCCGATGGTTTATAAAACAGGAGCTCAAATGGAGGGTTCAAATTAAAGGACTCAAGCATGGCAACTCAAGGTAGATGAGAAAAACCCCAGGGCAACCAGGGAAGTAGAGGAAGTAGGAAGCAAATATTTGATATTAGATTCAAGAAGTTGATGCTGGCAAGTTTTAACTTGGGCGATTCATTTCTCTGTTTGTGTACATGATTTTTAAGATTTTTTAAAAATATTGTGTTTTTTGTAATGTTTATTTTTAACATAATTAACGAAAAAGAAATATAAATTTGTTGTATAGTAGTACTTACATTTTAATTTCTGTTCCCTCGAATTAAGCCTGTTATCTGTCATTTGTTTTATAGGCCTGAAACAGGCTAAGACTTGCATAAACTGTCGAAAATTTACTCTGTCATTTCCACTCTCATCGAAAAAGGCATGCACAATTCTTTCACCAAGTGGGTTGATTGCTAGCTCTGGAATCCTTAGAAAATCATCTCTGCTAAGTGTACCGCAGTCCCCTCTGTCCAAACTTGTAAATCTGCTATATAGCCTTTCAATTTGGTTTGGTGTAACTAAAACATTATACAGAAAACATTACATTTAAATTTCAAACGCAGATATGTTTCTAAATATGTAAAGTATTTTTTATAAAGCACTACAATAAAAATGTCTAAATAATACAATGATATACTATTAATGTTGTGAGAGACTCTCACGCCGCGGTCGTGGGTTCGATTCCCACCGTTGCCCCTGGCCCTTTTTTCACAATAACCCCCCCAAATTTGAACACACATATACGAATTGTCACATGGCTAATATGCATAGTTCATAACGCAAAAAAAAAAAAAAAAAATGGGGTTTTTGATGACCCCCATTAAGATATTAACGAGTTGATATTTGGCAATAAATCAAAAGCGATTTTTGAATTGAAGTGATTAATAATACTTACATATTTACTTTTTACTGCATAATGAACATTATAACAATATATTACAATTAATTAAGGTTTTTAGTTGAGATAAAAAAGTCAATGGCACGAGCGGGATTCGAACCCACGATCTTCAGCTAGATACGCCGCTGCTCTACCACTTGAGCTATCGTGACCTCGATCCACTTGGACACCAACTTCCCATCTCAACCCCACCTTTTTTAAATTTTCCCTCCTTTTTTGCCATTTTTCTTTTCCCTTTAGATAGCTCAAGTGGTAGAGCAGCGGTGTATCTCGCCGAAGATCGTGGGTTCGAATCCCGCTCGTGCCACTGACTTTTTTATCTCAACTAAAAACCTTAATTAATTGTAATATATTCATTGGTCAAGCGGACCACGAAATTAGTGAATTATAACAATAACACAATTACCAAATTTTCTAATATTTTTAAGCTAGGATTTACTTCCCAAGGCCATACCCAACTTTTCCCAAGTGATAAAGTTTTTGGCAAGTGGAATGTTGTTAATAAATAAATTGAGAAAATTTGGCCAATGCATCATTAGTCAAAGCATACGATCAACTCGGTGATATTTTTAATTTATGTACATTTTTTACAAACCAGCTCATGTTTCTAAAAATAATTCCAAAATACGAAGCAATAAGGGTGCTACACATCTAATGAATTAATCAATAACCACTCATGAATATTCAAAGAGTAGTTATTAATATTTATTTGGGGTACCTTGACTATTTGTATCATTGAATTCATAATTCATAGTTACTTTTAAGAGAGAAAAAAATTATGTGGACACACATTGGATNTTTTTTTTTTTTTTTACGAGGGTTCGCAAAAGCAGAGATCATATAAACCCTCAGGGTGCCAGTGTTTTGAAAAAAAAAAGCCCTTTTGTAAATATGTCCGGTTCGAATGCAGGGCCACTGGATTCGAACCCGGGACCTTTACCTTACAGTGATGAGCGCCATGTCTAGGCCTAAACCGTTGCGGTCACCGAAGCCCTACTAAATTTATTTTATATTAGAAGTTGAAGACTTAACAACAATTATTTTATATAATTCATTGTTTGTTTCTTCAGAATAAATTTTAAACTATCCTAAAATTCAGATTTAATAAAAAATCTTGGGTGCCAGGACACAAAGGAGTTCTAAGTAATGAAAACCAGACAAACTGGCCATAGGAGGATTTGCAAGACCATATACATATATATATGCCTAGAACCTTGGGATAACAAGATAAAGCATAGAATCCTCCATCCCAGAATGTGTCTACAAAAAACAAAAGTGGATGAACTCCTGAGGTACCAGACACAGCAAACTCATGATTAAAAAATCCCACCAAAACTGGCAATCACATTGCTATAGGACAAGGTAAAGTGGCATCTGAGAACATATTTACATAACATTCACTAATTTCATGGTCCACTTGACCAATTAATATATTACAATTAATTAAGATTTTTAGTTGAGATAAAAAAAGTCAACGGCACAGGCGGGATTCGAACCCACGATCTTCAACCTACCTACCTAAGTACCTCAAAAAGGTGGGGTTGAGATGGGAAGTTAGTGTCCGAGTGGATCGAGGTCACGATAGCTTAAGTGGTAGAGCAGCGGCATATCTAGCCGAAGATCATGGGTTCGAATCCCGCTCGTGCCAGTGACTTTTGTATCTCAACTAAAAACCTTAATTAATTGTAATATTTACATAACATTGGCATAATGATGTGGGTTTGGTTAGGAATGGTTAAGCTAGAGCAGGATTACAGTTAGGGAAGGGTTAGGTAAGGTAAGGTTAGGGTTAGTGTTAGAGTTTAGAACTGGCTACCTATTCATAATTAAACTTTTTTCTGTGAAGTGTGAGTACAAAGTTTGAGTTTTCAGTAATACTATGTATGTGCTTTTACTCGATTCTCCTTGTATACATATTTCAACAAGGTAGGTTTAGCAGTGTTTCCAGTGAAACTGACAAGGTTGTTTTCATTGCCATTGGGATACATACATGCAAGGCTGCTAAATTCGAACCCAGGACCTTAACCTTACAGTAATGAACACTATGTCAACATTCACTAGTTTTTGTGGTCCAATTGATATGACCAATTGATGAATTGACCAATTAATATCTTTCTATTAATTAGTTGAGATTAATAAGCCAGTGATTAATAGATAATGTTTTTAGTTGAGATAAAAAAGTCAGTGTCACGAGTGGGATTTGAAACCATGACCTTCGGCTAGATACGCCACTGCTCTACCACTTGGGCTATCGTGACTTCGATCCACTCAGACACTATGTCAACACCTAAACCGTTGCGGCCAACAACACCCTCAGTTACCAGTCTTTGCATTCTTGTTTTGGTTACATTTTGGTTTAGTGTTACAATACATGTGGTTGGTGTAGTTACAACTTGGTTTTGCTTAGCTTTGGTCCATCAGATTAGTGAGCCATATGATAATTAGGGTCTTATTGCGTCCTTATATAGCCAATAGGCCATTTTCTGTTTTAATCCCCACGATTTGCCTAGTTCTTCTGGTGCTTAGCAATATTTTGCTTTTTGTTATGATGTACTGCAGGTGAGGGTTCTAGGCTAATGCTAATCAAAGGTTGTTCCTACGTATGTAACCTCATTTTTTAACGGCACCATTTCATTAAAGAAGGCTTGTATTTCTATATTTCCTAGTAAATGCAATTAGTGTGGTTTTTGAGGGGTTTGCTTTAAATGATTTTTGCTCTACCATGATGAGTTTTCTTTGTGTGAGCTCTTTTAATATGTAGGCAAATTTTCCTTTAGTGTAATGTCATCTGCACATCCTTGGGTACAGATTCCGCTTTTATTTAGTTCGTTTATGCCTTTTAACCTTAAAACCTTATTTCAATTTCTTTGAGTCAATTCCAATGATAAAATAAAACTTCGATTAATGAATAGCACACTTCTCATTTGATCCATATTACATCACTTGATTAGTTCTTATTTGACATTTTTTTCTCGTGAACGAACAATGGCCTGAAAAACAGCATATGTTCTTTTCCAACTCCAATGAAGACAATGTCAATTATGCCTTTTATATTAGAAATTATGGTGTTTTTTGTATGAAAAATTATTTGTGTATTATTGAATGTACTTGTTTATTCAAACGTTGATACTGGCACTGGTACGTGACAAAAGAAATCGTACAGACTTATCAACTTACAGCCGGTTTCCTCTTCTATTTCTGCGATTTCCTCCTCTCTCAAAAGCAAAGAAGAACGATTTCCCATTTTCCTCGATACTGGTTCCGCCGCTGGACCTCTTTCAAGATTTCAAAACTTCGACGACTAACTTTCAAAACGGCAATGGTTTTCTAAACGGAAATCAAAAATTCACAGTCCAGTATGATAAAACACTTCCTGTTCCAGCAATTTTTACTTTTGTATTGTTAAATACATATGAATAATCAAATGTACCTTACTCGAAGAAGGAGTGTAATTTCATAAGACAGATAACCCGCAGATAAGAATTGAAACGGTTCAGTCCGAATGAACAATAAAGTAGGAATGAGCTGTTCAAGAACGAACAGGGAACAAGGCTAAATGAACGATATCATTCTCCACCCTGACGGCCACTCGACTTACCACTCCACCCGCCAATTCTACTTGAACCACCTCATTTCAAAATATATATTATAATAATTTTGTTTATAATTTTTATATTAACATGGATTTTCTTTAAACTTGTCTTTCTTATATTTATATAACTTTTTTTATAAAAAAATTTTCCGTTTTTTTTTCATTATTTTTCATTAATTTTTTCTGCTTTTTGGTTATTTACATCCATTATCAGCACCTTATTTTTTTAATAAAAAAATTTAAACTTTTCGTTGTAGCCGCATGGATGCAAAATGGTCATATTTCTTTTATTTCTTATGATGGGTGTAAATTCCCAAAATGTCCAAAAATTTAATCTGTATATATAAAAGTGATGTATGTGTTTTAATGAACTAACACTGAACCAATTTTGATGAAATGACACTGTTTTTATTAGTGCCGAGCTAGTTTATTTTGGGCAAATGGGCATACAATAAATAATGGGTCAGGATAACAATATATATATATAACTAAATATAATAGTAATACTATTAACAATAATAATACTAATAAAATATGGCTAGTCTGACTCCATTATTATTATTATTATTAATTTTTAAGGGCGTTTTAACGGCTAAGGTCATTTCACGCCCTAACATCCAAACCTTCTATCTTAGGTTAGCTATATCTCTTCTGAGTGCTATAAAGCTCTGACTCCAAACATTCACTCGTAATCTTATTTATCCTATTGCCATCCAAGCTTTAATTTTTCTTTTTAAAATTCTTAATTCGGAAGGCCAAATGCATACAAAATTCCCATTTTAAATTGCATAAAATTTAATAAATTTATAAAATTTATTTCTGTTTCTTTTTTTAATTAGAATTGTGAATTTTGTTCCATAATTTAAAAATTCCCCGTAGGCTTGTATGGCTAATAATAATAATAATAATGGAGTCAGACTAGCAACAGTCTCAGCATGAGTATTGGCTCATCCTTATCCTTTTATTCTTCCATTCAAATATGATACATAAACTAATTCTACATAACAATAATAAGAAACAAAACACAATAACATTTCTTTATCTTTATCTTCTTTTTTTTTGTTTTGGAGGGAGCTATTTTTCTTATTTAAATTGCGATTTTGCATTATTTATTATTATTATTATTATTATTATTATTAGCCATACAAGCCTATGGGAAATGTTTAAATTATAGAACAAAAATTCACAATTCTAATTAAAAAAAGAAACAAATAAATTTTATATGTAATTTAAAATGGGATTTTTAATGGGCAATAGGATAAATTAGTTTACGAGTGAAAGTTTGGAGTCAGAGCTTTATAGCACTCAGAAGGGATACATATAGCTAACCTAAGAGAGAAGGTTTGGATGTTAGGGCGTGAAATGACCTTAGTCGTTAAAACGCCCTTAAAAATTAATAATAATAATAAAAACAAATAACAATTGTTATTATCTCCCTGGCAATGAAGGGTTACAAACCTAGTGTAAAAACAAAACAGAAAATTTAAAAAAAAATGGAACATTTTTTTATACAAAGACTCACAAACTATCAATTTTGTTTATATTTTTAGAGACCTTTTTATTATTAATAATTTATAGATTATCATATATTATCATACATCTTAATTATCTGAGGAAACAGTTCTGCTTGTCATATCACATTACAGATGTAAAATTTACTATCAGAAATTTCTTTGGAAAAATTAGTCATTGACAAAAAATATTTAATATTTTATTTCTTTTTTGTAATAAAGGCTGCGACCTTATTGGTCGTTAAGCCTCAAGTCTATACAAGTCAGCGGTGGAGCCCGGCCCCATCAGAGCGAAGCCCTTGCAAACCCTGGTGCAGTGGCAGCCCCAGGCTTGGAAAGAAGGAACCAAACAACTAATGCTTTTATATTAATATCTAGTCACCATCGACACCTCCTCCAAGCTCGGTGGAGATTCCTTGATCTCAGAGTCCGAGGATGCACCGCTGAATCCAGCCCAAAACCGACCAGCACCCAAGGCCCCGTATGGGCGTTGCCACAAATGAGTCACGTCCCACTGCCAACATGGGGCACCAGCAGAGGAAAGAAATTGAAGAAGAAAATATAAAGAAATATTTTTATACAAAAATTACAACAAAAAAAAAACCAAAAAAAAAAACAACCTTATTAAAGAATGAATTAAATATTTTATAACACCTTGTATTTTCCAAATCATTTCAAAATTGATGTAAAACATATGTACATGCTACTCACAAGGGTTAACACATAGTTAAATGCATAGTAAATCTAGCCATAAATGACAGTGATTACAATTACAATGAAAGATAAAATTACTTATTTACAAAATTAAATATACTCCTGTACAATAAAGCATATGTATACAAAATGAATCAATATGACAATTAAACAGAGATCACGTTGGTCACCAATTGTTGTGTCTAATTATGTCATTCCAGATTAAAGAGCACAATGATTAGTGAATGATTAAGATTAAAAGCAAACGTTGATAGAAATAAACAAAACACACATTAACATCCCCCTTCAAGGGAAAAAGCTGGAGGGGATCGATTATACAAGCCCGCTCAAAAGGATTCAATGCCAACAGCGAGTACAGCAAATGGAGGAAGACATCTCACATAGGGATACTCTATCCACTTCGATCCAGGGTACTTCTGGTCAACCTCCCACATGCAAAGGCCGCACCGGCCACATTATGTAGGAGGTTTAACACGGAGGGCCTGGATGAATAGTGTTTAGCACAAGAAATAGCTGCACACTAATACCGGAACTATGTGTGCAATCCTAAAAGCAAAGACTGCATACAGAGAAAGAAGATGGCTAACCTGCTCGGCCTACTTACCGAGAGAGGAGCTGCGCCCACCCTAGTTGCTGGAAGACATCATGAAGTACTCCAGGAAACAAAACATGAAACTAGTCATGGAATGTGATACAAATGCTCACCACATTATATGGGGAAGTACTGACATCAACAACTGAGGTGAGTCCTTATCAGATTACCTTACTGGTGATATGTTAAATATTGCTAACATAGGCACAGTACCCACCTTCATCACCCGATGTAGTCATAAAGTCTTAGACCTGACCATTACTTTCCAAGGGCTGATGAAAATATCTTAAACTGAAATGTATCCATGTAGCCATTATCAAATTCTGATCACAGGCACATCAGATTTGATCTGAACACATCCTCTCTCTCATAGAAACAACATACAGGAACCCCAGGATAGGGTACAAAAGAACAATCCTAACAGGGGGGGGGTAAATAAGGAATTTAGAAACAGGGAGGGCCTAGAAATTTCTGTAACCAACGCCATACTAGGCTCCTTCACTGAAAATTGCATGGAAAAAAAGAAGGCTAAATCAACTTAAAACAGTCTGGTGGAACAAACACCTAGACGTCTGAGATCTCAAAGTCCTTACTTTATTCAACCAAGCCAAGGCCCTTAATCAATGGCATACATTCAGAAATGCCTTGACTCAGTACAACAAAGAAATGCAAAAAGCTAAACAGGACTCGTGGCAGAGATTTTGGGAGGAAATCACAGAAACACCACAATGTGCCCGCATACACAGAACCATAGCCAAGAATGGTGCAGGGAGGCAAATAAGCTTCCTCATGAAGACAGATGGAAGCTTGATACAAACGGAAGAAGAAACACTCTCTCAACTGATTAAAAATCACATCCCAGGAGCAGAAACAATCCACGAAGAAGTACTCATTGAGCACTCAAAACTAAAAGACCCACAAAAGAAGAGTGTAAGGAGGTGGCAACCATAATACAACCTAAAGCCAGAAGCTGGGCACTTGAGAAGCTTAGCCATACAACGTGCCAGGAGTAGACAGGATCTACACAGTGTTACTACAAAAAGGTCAAGAGATCCTCATGCCTTACTTAATGAGAATATTCAGAGCCTGCCTAGTGTGGAGCTACATTCCTAAAAGATGGCGAGAGATACGAGTGGTGTACATATCAAAAGTAGGACGACCCATCGACTAACAGTCCAACTCGTACAGACCTATCAATCTCACATTATTCTGGTAAAAACATTAGAAAGACTGGTAGAGAACCATATTCAAGAGACAGCACTGAAGAATAAACCTCTCAGTGAGCAACAATTTGCATACCAACCAGGCAGATCCACAGTCCCTGGATAACCTGTGTAAACACATAACCAAGTCCATAAACGAAAGGAGATAGCAGTTACACTCTTCATGGATATAGAGGGAACTTGTAACAACGCAACAACAGCCTCTTTACATTAATCAATCAAAAACAGGGGAGTCTCAGAAAAAATCTGCCAATGGGCTGAAGAGGGCCTAAGGAACGGATAATCACATCAACCATGCGCGATGCGACCTTCCGGGCTAGGAGAGACAGGGGATTCTCTCACCCCTACTGCAGACGACACTGGTAGATAAACTCCTACAATCATTGGAACAAGAAGGCTTCTTCGATCTAGGCTATGCCTTGCTGTAATGGTAAAGGCCATGGATTACATCGTGATGGATTGTATGCTATCCGTTAAACCCCCCTCCACCTCCAAAAAAAAAAAAAAAAAAATAAGATTTTTTCAATAGTATATGATTGCATTATTTAGACATTTTTATTGTAGTTGCTTAATAAAAAATACTTTACGTACTTAGAAACATATCTGCGTTTGAAATTTAAATGTAATGTTTTCTGTATAATGTTATAGTTACACCAAACCAAATTGAAAGGCTATATAGCAGATTTACAAGTTTGGACAGAGGGGACTGCGGTACACTTAGCAGAGATGATTTTCTAAGGATTCCAGAGCTAGCAATCAACCCACTTGGTGAAAGAATTGTGCATGCCTTTTTCGATGAGAGTGAAAATGACAGAGTAAATTTTCGACAGTTTATGCAAGTCTTAGCCTGTTTCAGGCCTATAAAACAAATGACAGATAACAGGCTTAATTCGAGGGAACAGAAATT